TTTGCCTTTTTCTATTTCACTTTCCCAAATTATAACCTTGGAGATGCTGGGATTTTTTTATACAGCTGACAATAAATTTAGTACTAGAAAACTGGGAGGGAGTTATACTTCAGCAGCTGTTTTCACTGTAACTAGTAGGGTTTTTTTGCACTCATTTGAACAGCAAGATGCAGTTGCTGAAAGACACCAAAGGATTATAACTGTGAGAAGAGAAATTTAGACTTGACTTGTTTCAGCATATACATACAGCAACCTTGTCCTCTTTGTGGATTGTAACCCTGTATTTGCTGTTTTCCTACTAACCTCCTTTTCCCACTTTGCTTTGGGATTCTTGAAGTGGAGTTGCAGGGTTTCCCAGATGGCTTGCACTATTTAACCGTTGTGTGGCCCATTCCTAGCAGTGCTTTTATACAGGGACACAAGAGTCTTTTTGCCCATCCAGACAGGATATCTTTGCCTGTAGTTTATCTCCTGGAAATGAACAGTTAACGTTAAGTAGCTCTTGCTTTGGACAGGAAACATTCATGTAGGAATATTACAGGGCATGCGCTAGTGGTACAAGCAAATTACTCTGGCTCTACCTGTGCCCTGCAAGCTAACAGGGATCTGCGTGCCAGAGCCCAGGTTTGAAAGGGTCACATTCACAGCACACTGGTCCGGAGCCAGGTCTGTCTGCTACCTAGGGGCTATTGGCTCAGGCATAGCCTGGCCTGTCTGGGGGGTGAGAGAGATGTCACCTGCCCTGGGTGAATTCATCAGCCTGGGGACTGTCACCTCAGCCATCTCTGCTTTGATCTGCAGGGAGGAAACATCAGCACTGTGCACCAGTATGTCCCCTTCCTTCCTACAGAGCCTCACTAGCAGCACAGAGCAAAGCTCCTTCAGATCCTAGTAACTGAATATTCCTGCTGTAGTCAATAATAGAGAGAAAACAGTATCACAAATCTGTGGAAGAATGAAGCATGCTTCATGTTAGCAGTTCATGTTCTCAGAGGTCACCTTCTGCAGTGCTTTTGGTTTCCTGTCTCCATCATGTTCCCCACCTACTGCAGATGTTCGTCCTTCTCAGAGTCCATGTGTCTTTAATTCTGGCGGGCTGCTTGCTGTGGTAGGCTGTAAAACTCCAGAATAATGTATCTGCTTTATTCCCACTGTTTTACTGAAAGTACAGACTAATACGTTTGCCAGATATTTGAAAGACTGTATTCTGTAGCTAATAATGAGTCTTCTAGGCAGCTTTTCTATAATTAAATACTTCTTTTATTATAATAATAATGCTTCGGTCTAAGACCTCCCTATTAATTTGAGGTCAGAGTGATTTTGATCACTTGCTGTCTTTCCTCTGCTCTCTTCTTTCTTCAGTTTTCCTGTTAAGAAGTCCTGAGTATCTCCTAACCATTCACAAACTTACTGTATAGCTTTAAGTTTTTTTTAGTAGTTTCTTTTTATAGGTTGTTCTCGTCACACTCACTGTTTCAACAATTCCTCTGCAATTTAAAGCTTGTAATCATTCTGTTGCTGTGCAAATCACTGTGATAATGCAGGTTTGCTGTTCATGACTTCAGTGCTGCATTAGATAAGAAGAAGAAGGAGCTTTTGTGTGGGAGAAAGCCCTGAGTTAAGTAAGTTGTATACATTTCACGTATGTCGGGGAAAATAATACATGAAAAGGAATTGGGGTTGTTCAGGCTGCTAGGATTTTCTCTATCTTCTGAGTCATAAAAAAGCCCCAACAAGTCTAAATATTAAAAAGGAGGAAAAAAAGCCAACAAAGCCCAGTGTCTGATCTAGGGACTGTGGATTACAACAGCAGTTCCAGTCTGTTGCCTTTCAGGACATCCATCTTCCATCTTGGGTGATGGCCTTTGTCATTTTGTTTGGAAACAGGATTTTGGAACCTGTTATCCTTCCTTATCAGCAAGAGAGAAGGATGTAGACAGAACCACCTATATAGCTATAGAGTGAAGGATAAAGGAATTTCCTGTTGGAGATACCAGTGGCTAGCTCGCTTGTTTGGGAAGAGAGATCCAGATTTGTGTATTCAGGAAAATTTTTGTTTATCAGTCTTTGTTTCTAGATCAATTTTAGTAGTAGTTTATTCTAGAATTTTGAATGTCTATAAGGAATTAAATAGATTTGATACTTCTGTTTGTTTTCTTATATTCTTCCTTGATTAGTATTTAATATTTCAAAGCTCTTTAGTTGCTTCTTATATGTGGTTGTTTAGAAAAGACTAAACTTTCATGTTGTTGAAATTACTAACCACAATGTTCAGCTTATCCTGTTCCCTTGCTTTTTCTTTAATGCATGACCCATTATTCTTAACCGCATCTGTTCTTCAACATTCTTTGCTGGGCAATTCAAAGTGGGAAACATTAACAGCACAGCTATCTGGCTTTGGATCTAAGTGCATTGTTCCTGCACATTTTGAAAATAACTTATACTGCTTTTTGCCCTCATGTTTGTAAATACATGTACAGTTTGTAAATACATAAATACATAGGCATTCCTCCTTTAATTAATGTGGCTGCTTTTCATATGCGTAAGACTTCACAAGTTGCTTGGTGGTCAAGGCAAGATTTCTAAGGAGGCATTCAGTATGTGCACATCAGAGTGTATGGACACTGTTTTTCAGTATATGTTGTTTTCTTTGACTACTAAATGCAAAACTGGGAACAAGTCCAGAATCTTTAACAGCTAGAATGTATTTCATGCTGATCCCTTCTAAACTGGCTTTCACCATCGCCAAGTTCTAAAGTGAGGGCTGCAATGATGATGAATGTCTCTAATGGGGTTTTTGTTCAGGGCTGCCTGATATTTGTATTTTCTGTACTGTAGGATTAAAACAGAAAGTCTCTGCTTATAAAAGGGCCCAATATGTTTCTGGCTGAAATGCCCTTAGGACAGATGTGCTGATATTTCCGTATTAGATCCTGATATCCTTTTAAATTTATACATTGTTACAGTATGTTTGTCAGCATACTCAGTTGTGTCATTTCACTATTGAAATTCACAACAAAGATTTTGTTCTTTGTGGTTCTTGGTGTTATGTCTTTCTGGCTCAGGGCTTACACTGAAATAACTTCTTAAAATCTAATGCACAGTAGTAATAGAACTGTACCACCAACACTGTTCTATGTAAATCAATACATTGTTTTAAAATTTGTATGAAAAGGAGGTCATGCTCTCTTTTCTGGGCAGCACGTGAAGAAATGAGTTGCACGTGGTACTGTCTATTATCTTGGGAAATGGAATAAGCAGAGGTGAGGGAGATCATGCAAGCACAGCAGGATTTCCAAAGATGAGAATGAGAGAAGGGAAAGTGGGAGAGAGAAGAGGGAGGGAGGGAGATACTCATGGAGCAAAACAAGGCAACTGTAAATGAAAAAATCCAAGGAGTGGCTTGGTGGAGGCACTGAACTGTTGCTGCGTCTTTTCAATGCAGCATTGCATTTAAGTCAGTTATTGAAGAAAGGCAACAGCTGCTTCTTCACAGCATGAGGCAGAGGAAATATTGGAGGGCAGAAAAATAATCGTAGATATAGAGGAATGCCTTCCACAGGGACTGTCTTGCACAAGCCACTCCACTTTATGTAATGAAGTCTGGTGACACAATGCATGGTTTAGTCATAGGAGTGCCCTGGAGTAGACAAACATTGTACATCTGGAAACATTTAAACAAGTAATTAGTTTCTGGAAAAATTGCAAATTACTCAAGGAAAATGAAGCCATTGTGTTAGCTTCTGACTCCATGTCTACAAGATGTGTGGTTCTCCAGACTGCCTTAACCTTATCACTTCTTTGCTTCTCATAGCCACCACTTATATGTGGGGACAGGTAATGCAGTGGTATCAGGGCAGACAAGCAGGTATCACCAGGGCCTGTGACATGTTTGCCCCTTCAGAAAAAAGGCCACTGAACTGGGAGGTGGTGGGGGAAGTGCATCCAGTTCTGGGCCCCTCAGTTCATGAAGGACAGGGAACTGCTTGAAAGAGTCCAGCACAGAGCCACAAGGATGATTAAGGGAGTGGAACACCTCCCTTATGAGGAGAGGCTGAAGGAGCTGGGTCTCTTCAGCTTGGAGAAGAGGAGACTGAGGGGTGGCCTCATCAGTGTTTACAAATATGTAACGGGTGGGTGTCAGGATGATGGAGCTAGGCTTTTTTCAGTGATGTCCAGTGATAGGACAAGGGGCAGTGGGTGTAAACTGGAGCATAGAAGGTTCCACATTAACATCAGGAAGAACTTCTTTACTGTGAGAGTGACAGAGCACTGGAACAGGTTGCCCAGGGGGGTTGTGGAGTCTCCCACATTGGAGCTATTCAAGGCCCGCCTGGACAAGTTCCTGTGTGATGTACTCTAGGTTACCCTGCTCTTGCAGGGGGGTTGGACCAGATGATCTCTTGAGGTCCCTTCCAACCCTTGGGATTCTGTGATACAGAAGTGTACCCCTCTTCCTCACTGCTAGCATCCTACCTGGCCGGTGTTTTGAGGACAAGGACCTGATCCTGTGGGTTTTCACTGTCTTGATTAGACATCGCCAGGGAAGTCCTTTCCCAGCTGGCGCAACCTCTCCTTCTGGAGTTCAAAATCTCTGACTGTAACACAGGCCACGCATTGCCCACTTTGTTCCCAGGCTTCCATCACAGCAGACGTCCTCTGTTCCTTCATTACACAAAGAGAGAATGTTTTGGGGAAGGGGTGAGGGAGCACAGCAGACTTCCAGCCTTTCCCTCTCCCCACTGCTGGTGGAGAAGGCTGGCTGAGCAGAAGCACAGGAAGGCAGGGACCTCACGGAGTTAGGATGCCGTACGATCCATGATGTTTGATAGCATGCATAATTAGAATTATGATGCTACTGTGAGATTGACATGTTGCCCATCTAGGGGGGTATTGCCTGCCCCTGGTGATGTGCTGCCTGGCTGCATGTGGGTCATAAGTGGAATATAGAATATAGAAGCTTTTGGGACAATAATTGCTGTGGTTGTTTGTCATTACAGAAGTAACGCTGAAGGTCCATGTAAGCGATGCCAGCACACATCAGCCAGTAACTGAAGCCTTCATTGAGATTTTTACCAACCAGATCTCCATTGCATCTGGAACCTCAGGAGCAGATGGCACTGCCTTCCTCAAGTTTCAGTATAAGCTGGGCAATCAGCTGATAGTGACTGCTAGTAAACATGCATATGTGCCAAATTCTGCACCATGGAAACCTGTAAGATTGCCTGGTAAGAGATCTTTATTTTTGTTCTGAGGTAAGATTTTGCATCTAAAGGAAGCTACACAGTTTTGTATGATGTGTTGTTTAATGCTTGTGATCCTGGGTGGGAGCAAGAACATCTGGGTTGTTCAAAAAAGGCAAGGTTTCTTCCTCAGTTAAACTGTGGCATCAGGGCTACATCAGTTTTCAAACAACTGTTGGTGCTCTTAGAGCTCCACAGCAAATGCAAATCTATTCCAGATCTTTTTCTTTATGGGAACTCTGTTTCCAAGTGTTTTGTTTCAGCAGCTGTGATACGCTCATTCGTTTCTCTCTCAAGGTGTAGAAACAACTGTTGCACCATAGGCTGTAGTGTACAAAAGAGTCCTGGCTTTTCAACTCTTGGCTGTGCCCATAGGACAGTTTTAATCTGCAGTTATGTTATCCGGATGTAAGGATTTTTTCTAAGTTGATTAGCGTAATTTGTTTCTTCTGCAGACAAAAACTGTAACAATAATACTTGCATGTTAGTTTTTATCAGAATGCCCCAATTTTATGGGAAGAGGGAGACTTTGCATTAGTTGTACAGAATGGGATTCTGAGTCGTGAAGACTTATTTATGTACTGCTAAATAGAACAGAGTGGGGGTGGCTTTCAGACCTTGAGACATAACATCTAGGTGAAGGTCACGTACTCAGTTTTCTTCTGCCTTTCATCTAATCCCCAGCCACTATTAGAGTCCAAGTAGTTTGGGAATGGTCCCAGGCTTGTATTATATCCAGATCACACCCAAATATCACCTCAGATCTGATAATTAGCCGATGCCAAAGCCATGCCAGGTTTTAAGTGTGCTAATATTTAAATAATATAAATGATCACAGGACAGTGTTCAGCCCCATGCCTTGGCTCCATTTTATTTATTAAGATTTATTTTATTTATTAAGATTTTTTAAATACCTATTTATATTAATATTTCTAAAACCCTGTTTTACTTATTAAATATTTTATTTATTAATATCATTTTTAAATAATCTTTATTAATATCAGCCAGAGGGACTGTGTGACTTGCTGAAAGGTGGAGCAGCAAACGTATTTTCAGATGGGGAAAGGGACTTGAGTCTCTTCAAACTGAGGATTATGCTTTAGGCATTTCAGCATGCTGTTTACTTATCTGCATTTGTGTGCTTCAGATAAGATAGACTGATTTCTTCCACATTTCCTCTGCTATATTCTGCCACGTTTTCCAGCTGCTTAATGGAGCTATAGCGAAGACTAAGCCAGGTTCCTAGGTGCATAGTGAAAAACAAAGAAGCAACTGAAATTCATTGCAGCAAGGAGAGTTTCAAATAAACAAAAGGGGACAATTCTTTACAGCAGCTGTAGTCAAAGATTCGAATAGGTTGCCAAGAAAGGTTGTGAAAGCTCTGTCTTTAAAGATACTCAGATCTCAACTGGACACCTCCCCTCTTCAGCATGCTTCATGTACTTCCTTAAGATACAATCATACATGATGAAAGCATGCAATAGCCTTTTCTTGCTTGAACCTTTTCTTGTTTTGTGTCTCCTATCTTTCTGACTTGCACCTAGATCTTTTGAATGCAACCTACTCCTCCATGGCCTGGAGTTTGTTTGGTTAGGTTTTTCTCTTGTTGCTTTTTCTCAAATACTGAGTTTGAGGCAAGGGAATCAAACATGGCATTGTTGTTTTGGTAAGTCATTGAAGTTTAAAGAGCAGTAATTGTATACAGTTTCCACAAAATCTTTCCAAGGCTGAAATGTGAGCTTACCTCAGAAAATAGATTCCTTTCACCTCTGGTCATCCTCCATTGAAATGGGTAGATAGCTTGCCATTGATTTAATTGGGAGTAGAATCTTTTCTTTTGCTTTCTTTACCTTGAACTTAATCCCTTCCTTGATTAAAGAAACAACAAGTTAAAACTTGATACGCCCTATGTAGATTTAATGGGATTGTTCTTTGAATTAGTCCTTCAGAGGGACATGACAAAAAAGTTCAGGCCCAAGATACTTAGGCTGTTAGTTTTTGTATTGACTAAGATACCTAGTCTTTAAAAACCTTTCCAAGAACTGTTTGTATTTTAAATGCCCTGTATTTAAATGCCTCTTCGGCTTGCAACCAGCACAGTATTGAAGTCTTGAAAACCATGGCATTTTTTTGTTGTTATTTTCAGTCTGGGCTGGATGATGGGGAACAGGCAGTCACGATGCTTGTATCACAGTTAATATGCATTAGTTATAATCTTACATTGAAAAGTTGTGCAGCTACTGAACTCATTATATTATTGTATTAGCTTTAAGGAGTAAGCATCAAGGGTTTTCTGTTCCCTTAATTCGCCAGAAGTGAACTTTTCTTGTATTAACCAAAATAATTGCTAGCATTTTACCACTTAAGCAGGAAAATTATTTATTTACATAAAGATAAATGGTAGGGGGAAAAGATTAAGATCTTTTTTTCCATTGCAATATTTATCACCAGAGCCATGGCTCCACTTATTAACAGTTCATTAATTTAACATCACTTGAGCTGTTGAAGTGTTCATGATGGAAGATGTGCTCATCTATCTGCTCTTAGCTGCATGTAGATTTTCCTTTCTAAATGATTTGGAAGAAAAATATTTGTGACTGGTAGTCCCTATTTATGAGGATGTTGTTGGAGCAGTGTGTGCAGTGAACAGTGGGAAGTTGCTAAGGCAGCACAGTTCATACAAGCTGATAGGGTCATGGTTGTGTTTAACCCCAGCCAGCAGCTAAGTACCATGTAACTGCTCGCTCACACCCACTGCCTGCTGATCAATACCAGGCCTGTCTCTGAGCAGCGATTGGTCCCTCCTGGCCAGCCCCCCCAGTTTATGCCCATGGCATATACTGGGCGTGACGTGCTATGGTGTGGAATAACCCTTTGGCTAGTTTGGTTCAGGTGTCCTGCCTCTGCTTCCTCCTAGCTTCTTGTGCCCTTCTCACTGGCAGAGCATGAGACTGAAAAGTCCTTGATCAGGGTAAGCGCTACTTGGCAACAACTTAAACATGGGTGAACAGCATTGTTTTCATACTAAAGCTGAAACTCAGCACTGCAGCAGCTACTAGGAAAAAAATAACTCTCTCCAAGCTGAAACCAGGACAGTCAGTCAAAGCAAGGCATGTTATTCACTGTGGTGAAATGTAGTCCTAGGAACAGAGGATGCTCACAGTGCTTCTGGGAGAGGGGAGCTCATCTGAGAAGCAGTACCTCTGCAGATGACATGTGAGTCATGCTAGACGAGCGATTGAATATTACCTCCCAGTTCAGCACTGCAATAAAGTAGAATAATCTGATCCTTAGCTGTAAAATAAGGTAAAGACTGAGAAGGCAGGGTATAGTGTTTCAAAACTTGTCCTTGGTGCGACCACTCAGGAAAATGTGTACCCAGTTCTGGATCGAGGCTGCAAGAATAATATTTAAGTCTCTAGGGTTATATCAGGAGTGATTAAAAGATTGGAAGATATGGCTTCAGGGAAAGACTTGGAAGTGCTTAATTTATTTTGTTCACCAGAGAGAAAGCTCATGGAGTAATTTGATCATAATCCATCAGTACCCACACAGAGAACAAGAAAAGGATATGAGAGAATTCCTCTGTCTAGCAGGCTTGTATAAAAAGAAGATCAAATGGCTGGAAGTCTAACCTCAGTAAATTTTGATGGGTAAAAAGGCACATAGTTCAACTGTGCTCATGATTATTTACTAGAGCTTTGATGTTGTGGTGTGTTCTTCAACACTGGACACCTTAAAAGAAAATTTGATAGCTTTTCTACGTTTTCTAGCTAGCTCAGCTATTGGAGCTGAAGCAGTAATTCAGGGAAGGCTGTGGTTACACAGGAGTGAGACTGGATCGTCACAATCATCCTTCTGGCCTTAAAAACTATAACTTTCTGCCTTTGTCGTGCTGAGAAAAGATTGTGCAGAAAAGCCCGAGGGAACTTTAGAGGTTGCGTGTGCATTATAGTCTGACATATAAGGAAGAAGATGTTGGCATGTTTTATTGTAGTGAGCTCCCCAGGGTGTCTAAATTATATTAGCTTTCTTCATAAAATTAAGTTATTGGGAGTAAAGACAGACAAATTCCGTAATTGTGTGGCCTTAGTGCTACTTACTCTAGGCTTTCCTATTTATGTTGCCTGATGTGTAGATCTGTTTCACATCTACAACATTGGAAAGAAAATTCTCAGCTGTACTTACAATCAAGATTCTTTGTTCTATTTTTCAAATGCTCAGATATGTTAAGACCATCTTCTAGGTGGTGGTTCTTATCAGTGTGCTTCTCCCAAGTTTCTTCTCCTTTCCTCTGTACTTCTCCCAAATACTAAAATTTCTAATATTTAAAAAAGTTATTTCTTAAAATAGTCTCCATATTTGTAGCTAACATCTATACGGTCTTTTGTATTAGGTAATACACATTAGTTTAGAGGAAATTTATAAAGCTCCAGAAAATCAGAAGAGCTTGCAGTGTTCCATTAATCAGTTCTGGAAATGTCTTCCTCAGCTTGTGGTCTCTTCAGAATGAGATGAGTACTTTCCAGATGCAAACGTAGGATGCTGCCCACTTCCAAATATTGTTAGTCTTGTTAATCTCCTTTTCTTCTTCTGCCTTTGAAAGCCATGCATGGACTGCAGGCAGATTTACTTCTTACTGTTTTCATGGGTGTAGGAGTCAGATGTGCTTGGTGGCTAATTCCATACGTACTTCTGGTCTTCTGGGTCTGAAGAACTTAGCATGAAATGATACCATGATCTTCACTCTCCAGAGATGTGTGTGCATACAGACACAGCCCCCTGTAAGGAACGTCAGTACTCAGTGGCAAATGAGGTCCTTGCGGGCAAATTTCTTGCAGCAAATACCATTTATCTGTCTCTTTTTGCACCACTGATAGAGACAGTAGTTCCACTATATATAACACTGCTGTAGTTTGGGTGGTGACTCAGCAGGGACGTGCTGTATTTTAAAGCAAATTATTCAGACTTATTCATCATACTTTACCTTTCTGTATGACTTTTTATGTAATCTCAAAGTATTTAAAAGTTAAGTTTCATTAATATCTTCCTGAGGTAAGAGGTATAGCTGTTTCACAGAAAAAATAATGCAGTCAGACTGAGTTACTGTTCCAGTCCTCGTCATGTAATGACAAGTGTTTCTGTGGAGCTGGAAATTATAACCCAAAACCCTCCTTCACTCTGCAGTCTTGTGTGCTTTCAGCTACCATGCATGACTTGGAGGAGTCGAAGTGTAGAACAGGCTGTTTAGGTCAATAATAATTACCCTGGCAGTCTAATTATTTGGTTTAGAAAATGCATATGGTTTCTGCCATGTATACAGTATGATTGTAATAGTTTGGGTGGCCTGCTTTTGCAAAAATGTAAAAGAAAGTAAGTGTTATTGGGTTATGTTTGTAAGAACTCAAATATATGCCACTTAAATCACTTCTCTCCCACAGTGTTCTCTTCACTGAGTCTCGGCCTTCTTCCTGAACGCTCAGCTACTCTCATGGTCTATGATGATGTAGTCCAGATAGTCTCAGGATTTCAAGGTATGATGTTTCTTGGAAGTCAGAAGTGAAATTTGAGGGTCTCTAAACAAAAAGCCTGACAGCCTGATACTTTCTGAACTCTATCCTGTGGGTGAGACTGGTATTTCATTGGGAGTTTTTCTGAGTTCCCCAAGGAATGCTCTTCTGTAGGATGGTTTTACCAAACTGATTAATAGCTAAATTCATTCCTAACTGCTGTGATTAGGGAATTTAAGTCACTTGGTAATAAACAAGTGTGGACTTCAGTGTGCTGTCTGAGAGCTAGAGATGAAATTTATTTTGCTATCTGTTAAGTGTTTTGGTTCTTTTTTTATATCTAACCTCATTTAGCTGCCCTTACAGAAAATGTTTTCTGATGTTGTTATTGTCTGAGAAATTTAACTGGTTTTGTTTATTGCTTCCTACTGTGAAGGCCTTAGAAATTTAAGGCATAGAAAAATTTCTCATATCAACTTTGTTGTATATCCTATACAAACTTACTTTTCTTAAGTACCTCCTGTGGACCCCTTATCAGACTGTCTGCAAACCCACTGTATTAGAAGAGTAAAGTTTGAATCACCTTTTCATAAGGCCAAACGTAGAAGTTGAAGCAACAGCATCAGTAGGATGAACACTGTGTTTCCTGAATTACGCAGTAAAGAATAAAATCTAATCTGACGTAGGGATCAGACCTGACTTAGCCCAGTTGATGTGACAACTGAGGTAAGTCTGTTGATGTAAGAACAGAAATTTGTAAAGATACCTTTAATGAGCCAAAACAAGGCACATCCTTCCTGTGAGCTTCTTGTGCATAAACTTTATCTTATTCCCATGTATTATGATTAGCATCACTCCACCAGATAATTAATAAGCATGGGAATACTACCTTCAGTAATATCCTAAGAGAACTTTGTTTTATCTGAGAGAATATAATACAGTTATGCCTTCCTGACACCTTTTTTTTTATAGTTAGAAAGCATCCAGATATACAATAGGCTTTTCATTAATGATAGCAGTAGATACAACTGGAGCTGAAAAAGCACTAAACAAATTAGGTAGCTGATGGAATGCTCAGAAGGAGCTTGAGAACAGTACAGCTGCCATACAGACATTCTGCAATTTTGAGAGCTGTTATTATCTAATGGGGTAGATTAGGTGGACAGTGAACTGTTAAACCACAAGGGATTCCATTAGACAAGAAATGAAATGTTGTTTACCAACAGTATTCTACTAGCACAGTATATTAAATACTCTTACTCTTTTGTAAAGTGCTAATATTATGCAGTTAACTTTAAAAGAACAGTCTTTTCATATTTACAGCTTCCTTTCTTCAAATAAATGGGGGATGTTAAAAGGCTAGAGGGACAATTTAACAACTGAGTGACACTCATAAATATTTCCCACATAATCGTGCTCCCTTCAGTGAACTGATCCAGAGTGTCCCCTATATATATATATATTAGAATACTATTACTGGTTCTGCTGGTATAGCAGAAAAAGAGGATAAAATGGGAAAGTGATACCCCAAGTACTCTACGGGTTGAGATTTGAACCCTCACTCTTGTCCAGTAAAAACTATCTTATGGGAACAGCCCACACTCCTTTTCTTGGGAATTCTCTTATGGTGAAACCTGAATGAAGGACAGCCTAGACATAGACATTGTACTAAAATTTGAATGGAGCCTCTCTTGTCTTGATCAAAGGTCCTTGTGACCTAGTTTTTCTCTGTTACTTCTCCAATTTGTTTCCCAGTAATTTCACACTGCTTCAAAAGAGCTGATCAGGAGTTACCTCAGTGCAAAAATGAGAGCAAAACAGAACTCATTATACCCAGAACAGACTGGGAACACTGGTGTTGGAAGCACCAGTCAAAGGGAAAGAAAGACCTGTCTGGTACAGTAAGTTATCAGTTGCTTCTGAATAATTAAGCAAGCAAGCGACTTATTAGCAATTGAGAGGTTTGTCTGAGTTGATGCAGCCAGCTTCATTTTCACGATGGCATTGCATTCCGCTGCTCTGCTCTGTCAGTAATTGCAAGGGATGGAGCTTGCCAGCCACTGTGTCATTTAAGTTATTTAATACCAGCCCAGTGATGAGCTGAACTTCAGCATTCAGTGAATGGGAGCTGTATGGGTACCCTCTATCTGCCTCTGATGCATGAGAAATCAGAGCATAAACTGATGATACTTCAGTGGTTTTTTTGCGTAGATTGAAGCTCAAATGCCAGTAATGCCACCTGTCATGTATTCAGTGTGATGAGAGGTTCCCTAGAGGGACTCTCTGAGATGGTTACATCCAAACTGGAGCTGACAGCCTTTGAATCATTGTGTGATTCAACGCAGGGCCAGTGTGTTGACAAGAAGTTTAAGGAAGGTATGATCAGTGCTTATGAGTCTTTTACCTCATGGCACTCACCAAGTGGAGAGAGCTCACATGCCAGTTTTATACTTTAATGTGTTTGGATTTTGTTTTTGGTTTTTTTTAAGTCAAAACTAGATATCATGGAATTGTGGAATACCAGTTTGGAAGGGACCTCAAGGATCATCTGGTCCAACCTTTCTAGGCAAAGCAGGACCTAGACTAGATTTCCCAGCATGATGTCCAAATACCTTCAGTAGAAGCAATAACAGTCCACTCCCAGTGATAAGTGTTGACTTGTTGAAAAAAAAGAGAGTATGGTCAGCACAAGTCTGTCTCTGCATTTTACCACTTCCAATTCCCCTAGTAAATCTATTCCTAAACATATGCCCCCAAATCCTCTGTGACCTCCTCTAAAGGAATACACTGGATTATTTTCTGGCAGAGTGGTGAGAGAAGGTGAAAGTTCTGGTAGCTGCTTCCCTCACAAGCCTTTCATTGGTAGGTCCCAGTATTCTGCCCCTTCAAAGGCTATTGCCAGATTTGGAGAGATCCAGCTGAGGCTAGAGTCAGGGTGAGTGGCAGGTGTTATATCAGTATCAAAGAGCTTGTTAATGTAGAGTGTGAATTAACTACTCTGCACTGATTTACTGTAGGTATAAGCACTATCTACAGAGGAAGCTGTTTCTTTCATCTTAAAACTTGCATCCAAGTTTTTGTGCCAGGTTTGGGGCTAAGCCACAGGAATGCTTTGTGCTGCCTTTGGGATTCAAGAAGCTAAGACTGGCTTTCTGAGTCCTCCCTATCTATTTAAAATTTGGAAGCTCAGTGCTCTCCCAGTGCTACAAAACAGCTACTTGTTAGTAGGAGACCGTAGAGCCTTCACATAAACTACAGTGTTAGACACTCAACAGCAGTTACTTCAGTTTTAATTCTTAATTACTTCACATCTTTGGAAATATACTGGTTCTTGGAAACTTGCATAAGTCATCTTAACCAGAGATTCAGACTGCCTACAATTGTACATTGAACTGTTAGTGATAATCCTAATGCCAGTTTCTTTATTGTGTTCAGGTTTTTTTCTGTTTTGTTACTGTGAACGCTTATCACTATGCGCTGTAGGAGCCTGCTCAGTAGTGCAGTCAGAGGTTCCCAACTACCTGAACAGATCTGTTCCCAAGGTATAGCAAACTACTGTGATATTGCAAAGCACTCAGGAAAGAAAACTTCCCCAAGTTCATTGCAGTCAATTTATTTAGTCTTTTATGTTGTTTTCTGTTTAAGCCTAGAAATTGGGTAAGGGAGATTTCTACCTATTTCACACGAGTGTTGTTTAATGCCTCTCTTAAACACTTGAGGATACTGCCAGTCCTGAGAGCCTGCTGTAAATACTTACGTGTTTCAGAAATTGAAAAGCTTGGTTTATAGGATTTTCTTGCAGAATTGCCAAAAACATGAGAGCTAAACAATGATCAGCCATTTGGAGATACTTGCCTGCCTACATAGCGATTCCTGTTGGCCGATACAAAGTTTGTCCTGTGGAATTGTTGTGTTTTCTCATAGCTAGAGCCCCTGCTAGAAAATAATGCAAGAAAAGATTCCAGTCTCCTGGTTAATGACATTGGCAGTTACAGAGCTTAGGAGTTGGGAGTCAAACTCTTTAATTTTTCTTGCCATGAAGTTGCATGTAACCTTAAAGTGCTGGCAGAGACTAATAGGGGAAAAGAAGCAAAATTGTTTTGAGTTGACATCTTTGAACTGCATAGTCAAATGCGAATTAAGAAAAAACCTGCTTGCCTCTTGATTTTGTGCTGGGGTGTGTGTGTGTGTGTGTGTGTGTGTGTTCTGTGCATATTCAAAATGAGCTCCAGAGAATACAATAGCTTTTGATTTAAAAATTAATTTGCATGTTGCACACACAAACTTGCAGATGGAGTCTTGCTGTGTGTTGCTGAACAGTGATAATGGTGAGCATCCATTGAAAAAAGACTGTTGACTTTATAAACTGAGATTTAAATGAGACATGAAATGCCATAGCACATAAAACACTCTTAAATCATGTTGCAGCAAAGACCCCTCAATTAACACCTAGTGATCTTGAAAAAAACACTCAAACTGTACAACACAGAGGAAAAGATGCCAGCTAATCTGGTTCTGTTTAGATGTGTTCTTTATGTGGGAAAATGTGGAAACTTTTCACCCAAGTTTTGTCAAGTAAATCTTTTTATCCAGTGATTTAAATGAAAAGCAATTGTTCCCTCAGCACTAGAGGTAGGTAACGTGGCCAAAGCTTTATAAAAATTAAATACAGAGATTACACAAGTTAATTTGGACTACAGGTGGAACTGTCTCTTAGAAAATCACTTTCAAGAATATAAACTACGTTTATCTTGCTATTTCAGGAATTCAGGAAAAAAACAAAATATAAACAAATGTGGTGAACAGGATGCTTTTCTGTGCTTTCACATGCTCTGCCACTGAACTCAGTTCTAGTTTTGGTTATATACATTAAAATAAGCATGTAATGAAATTGGAGGTGATCCAGGGGAAAAAAAAACATAGTGAGAAAAGCCTCTGACATTAGGTGCCTTAACAGTTTTGCTCTGTAATACTTGTGGAAAAATAATGGCAAGTGCAAAATAAATGTAAAAATACTGTTTTCCCTCCTCGTTCATAATAGCCCTCTGATGTCTCTATCCTTCGCAAGCTATCACAATTTATAATAAAAAAGACTGTAAACGTGCCTCCATAAATGCACAAACCTATGTATTCTGCCCACCTTGGATATAAAGTCGCTTCTAATTATTTTTAGGTGCACGAACTCAGCCACAAGTTCACTTTCAGAGAAGATCTGTGAAATTACCCGAGAACACTAGCTACAGCGATTTGACAGCATATCTGACTGCAGCCAGTTCACCCTGGGAAGTGGACAGTTTTCCTTATTTGCAGGGATTAGATGGAAATGGAACAGGTAACCCACTACTTTGTTTTTGCTCTGATTTCATATTGGTCCCAGGATTGACTTTTGACCATACAATTTTTTGCATTCCCCATTCCAGCAAATGTTCTTTTAAAATTTGTGTGATGTGACAGGTTCAACTTCCCTACCAAAGTGCTGTTCCAATAAGCAAGAGAGCAAGGTTCGCTGTCCCTTAAATGGGGCCACTGAATAGCAAAGGTGAAAACTCTGATCTTGGGAGATCAGAAAAGTTTGTTACACTTGTAGCTTAGAGCTAAGTTTCCAAATGTGTCACACATTCACATGCAAGAATGGAAGTTAATGTGAAGGGACAAAAGAGAATTTAACTTGAGGATGCCACAGAATTCTTTTCATTTTTTTTTCTAAAAGTAGATAAAATGCCTATATATCAAGAATTCAATACTCTGTTGTTTCAGCTACGAGTTGTTTCAATGGCTTGGTTAATACTTTTTAATCTAGCTTCAGCCAAAAATGTGCAAATTCATCTAGCACCAAAGGGAAAACAATGAAAATTCGTAGTAGAAACACAACCACTGTTCAGTTCAAAGCTGTAATACATTTTTATGACTGCAACTGCCTGTTAGTCTTCTTCCACTTCTCATTTGCTCCTAATTGAAATAATAGGTGTTGCGTAGGCTAGAGAAAAGTAGAAGAATTTGGAACAGAACTCTTTAAATTCATAAAATGCTGCTGGGAAAAGGAGAATAATGTTTTCTCTATGTTCCTGTTGATGTAGAAAGCAGCTGTGGACTTGCAATGCAGCAAGAGAGATTCAGACTAGTTATGAGGAAAACCTTGCTATGGTGAGAATAGTTTAAGCTTTAGAATCAATTGCTTGAGGGTATTGGACAGGGTTAGGCAATCACCTGTGAGGATGGCATAGGCGTAAAGAGCCTGCTTTGAAGCAGGCTGAATAACCCCTTGAGGTCCCTCCCTGCTGTTTCTCAGGATGCGTTTACTTGTGATGTGTTGATCTAGGTGACTGAATGCTAGGTCATGTGTGTATATACTGAGCTTGCTATCTTTTCCCTAAAAAAGCCAAAAAAAAAAAAGGCAAAATAAACTTCCCTCTGTACACATCTGAATATCTCCTTTTGTATTATGATTAGGAATGTCTGCTACCTCACCTCCAATACTTCTGTCTGCTCCAGGGAGTACATCTCATCCTATCTCATTCTCTCTCTCTGTTATTTCCCTATTCTCATCTTCAGCCATCAGTCTTATCTGACTCTTCATACTCAGACATGATCAAATACCTCTTTATCTCTTTTTTAAAATGAAGGAATGCACTTGAGCTCATTCGTCTGTCTCCTTCCTCATCTCCTTTCTTTTTATCTCTAAACCCCCTGAACAAAGCGTTAACAATGTGTGTGGGATTCCCAAGTCTTTCCTTAGTAGTCAGCAGCCCAACTTCCCACCCTTGCATTTATGTAGTGAAAATAGGGCTCGCCAAGTTTTCAAATGACCACTCTCCTGAGAATTACATAGAATCATAGAATAGTTAGGGTTGGAAAGGGCCTGAAGATCATCTAGTTCCAACCCCCCTGCCGTGGGCGGGGATGCCTCACACTAAACCGTGTCACCCAAGGCTCTGTCCAACCTGGCCTTGAACACCCCCAGATAGACAGGATATCATCTTTCTCCTGTTTTGCCTCCTACAAGTCAGGTGAATGCACCCCTGGATTTTTAGTGTCGTGTTTGCTTGCATGGCAGAGCCTTTTCTACTTGAGCATGGGGCCCTGGATTTGACTGTTACTAGCCTTCAAGTAAAAGTATGTCACAGAAGACCAAAAAGACTGGCAGATGGGGTTTAAAAGACTGTGAAGAGCCATGTTTTTTGAATGATGTAGTGTTAGTGTTCAGTATGATATAATACAGACTACAAATACAGTATATTTGTATATGCACAGTAGTATAGGTGAAATGTTCTCCATTTTTATGAGAAGTTTCTCCTCCTGTGGAAAGATGAAACTTTAAAATCCTAAACTTGGGTTGACTTGCTTTCCTTCATCTCCAAGTGGTTTGGTGAAGATTTCACATGAAAAGCCTTTGCAGAAGTAAAAAATGAAATCACCACTTGCTGGGGTAATTTGAATATTTCTCTTATCAAAAGGAAAATATGCAAAACTTCTAGAATTCTTATCATTTACATGCATGGGAAGTTCTGGAGTGTTCCTGTTCCTGAACACTGCTCCGTTTCTTCTGTCTCTCACCTCTCTTCCCCACCCAGTTACTCCTCTGTTCTTTCACAGTTCTACATGTCTGTAGAGTTTTGGAGAGATCTTCCCATTTGTTTCAGTGAGCTCAGTTCTCTGACTAGTATTAATCCAGAGTGACTTTACAGTTGTTTTAACTAAAACCTATTATCTATGAGTTCAACAGTTTCCACTAAATCCCAACTGGGCGTTGAATATGGAGCAGTGAAAATTCATTGCATGAATCAACATGTTCCCAACATAAAAATTCCGAGAATTTAGCTGCTCATAGTGACAAGCCTGTACAGTATTAGCTTATTGTTTGTATTAATCACCAGTTGGACAGATTGGTTTCACAATATCTTGTCCTTTTAACTAAGGTAGACAAAACTTGCCATCAGCTGCAGCAATGGACAAAGCTGGCTAATAACCATTACTCCTGCTGCATTTGTAGTCTGTTCTATGAAGAGTCGAGTCTAAATCACAGTGGATTTTCCTCTGATTAGAGAGCTCTTTGCAGGTCACCAGAAGTCAAAAATGACAAGAAAGAAATGAAAGGTGGCATTTATTGAAGTCCATTCCCATTTAATCTGTGCATGTGCTTATCATTTTTTTTAGCATGTGAGAATTTCATAAGCATTGATTTTAGTTTACCTTTACTACAGAAAAGACAAAGATTTATCTTTTTAATGAGCATTTACATACTGTGCAAGGTGGAAAACTGAAGGATTATTTCTTCTTGCAGAGGTCAGTGGATTTCAGAAATTTCTTCCATTTTCTCATATAACTTGTTCAACCCAGCACTGAGCAAAGCATCAGTACGAGACAACACAGAGCAAAGTCAGTACATCTTAAGTAAAAAAGATGCAAAATCAGAATGCTTTTTCGGGGATGAAAACTCATATTTACAGATATTAGGCAGATATGCTTTATCAAGACAGTAATGAAAGAGAGAAATTCAAGACATTTGATATCTAAGTAAAATGCATAATTTAATCTTAAATATTAAACTTGGTTCAGATAACTAAGATCTGAAGTTGTACCTTTTGTCATAAGGAATTTGTAATATGCCATAACTTAGTCAGGTTATGATACTAAGTGCCAGGAATTTATTTCTGTGATACAGCCTGAGAAAGTTAGTGGCTCAAGTCCAGTGACCTGGGAGCATATATCAGTCTGACATAAGTTATAGGTGCATGACAGAAGCAGTGGATTGAATAATCAGGAATAAAGGAACAACTTTTCCCCCCACCGGTTCCCTCCTCTATTTCTATTTTACATTCTAAGGCTGTAAGGGGATGATACTGTGCACCATTGGAACCTGTAATATACAAATGCTTGGGTAGGCTGGCAGCCTTCCCTACCCCTTAACTGAATTGCCAAACCTTATTTTTCTGTTTTTCTCTCTGTTAGCTCTGTGGCTTTCTTATATGGCCATCTTCAGAGTGCCTGTTTTCTCAGCACTTTAATTCCTCTGGAAGATATGCTTCTGCCCTGCCATTCACAGTAGATCAAAGCAGCGTGCATTCCCCTTTGCTTGTCAGCTGTGCAGCAGTGACACTCGCCTTGGAATCTGGGGAAAATGTGCGTCAGAGTAGATGCTATAGTAAATAAGCCACATGCTGGTTATTTTCCATGTCTTTAGTTTGGCAACTCTTGCAAAATCCGAAGAATCTGAAAATTCTGAGGAGTTTTGTCTTTTTCCTTTCCCTTTGCCAATTTCCTGCCACTTTCCCACCCCTCTCCTGGTGATGTCTTAACTTTGGTGAGCTGTTACTCAGAGATATCAAATTTAAAAGCCATTCCTTGAGACTTTCTCACTGTTAGAAGTCATAAAGGTCTTAATGCTTTCCCTTCATTCTCTCAAATGTACTCATCCTAATGAACAGTCACTGAGATAATGCATGTTCCTGAGGATACTGTGTGTCTCAGCATTGCATTGCAGGTAGTGTACCACTGCAGAGTGTGAATGTGCTTTTACAGGCAGTTTATGCTGATGTAAGGCACCAGGATTGCAGGAAGGACAGTACCCCATGCTCTGCCAGCCAGGCACCGCTGCTACTTATGTCACATTAGCCCCACAGCAGGATGGCAAGATTCACAACCCCAGATTAGCATGAAAGAGGTTGCAGGACTGCTGCTCTTGACAGCACTAGGGACCCGTAAAACTGGAAGCTCCATCTCTTCAGATTTGAACTACTACCACTATTGCATAAAGTTTCAGTTCTATTTGATTTTAAACTTCAAGCTTTTCACCTCTGAATACATGTATGTATGTACCCCGAATACATGTGTGTGTGTGTACATATATATATATGGTATTTTTCCCTGTTATTGATTAATTTGGTTAAATGGCTGAAGGGTTATAACTCTTTTTTAAGTAGTGTTGTCATGAAGTAACATCCATTGGCATGCAGTTTAAACATAAAGAGTAATTATTATTACCTTACATAGAGAAGAAGCTAACACTGTGTATCCTAACAATCCCTTTAGCTTGGTTTATTTCAGTGAAAGGCCAAAGGAAACCCATTCTGGCTGGCATTCTTAAACATATGCCTGATCATCGTTGTAGTTTCACTTCGTGTTTGGCTGTCTGTTAGTTATAATACGGCATGTGAGGCTGTAGTAAAGGCTTGTGAGATTAATTTTTTTTGCCATGATTATCACTGTGATACTTATATAAATTTATTTAAGATGAATTAAAATATATGCAGGAGATTTTGTCATTGTCGTTTTCTTCACGATTTTCCAAAATTAAGTGAAAAATACAGAAGTATGGATATCTGTGTTGTGAATTTGGTAAGGTGGGGAGGATTACTTCCACAGTCCCTAGAGGAAATATGCTGGTGTAATACTGCAGTTTTGGACACCGTGGCTGTAAATTCTAGGAAATTCTATGGTCACAATATTCATTCATTCTCTTGGTAGGAAACAGCACTAGGTATGACCTCACCCCTGTCACTGCAGTCAGCGTTCATCTCCTCAACAGCGATGGGACTCCAGTCCCTGTGAATGGCCCCATCTATGTAACAGTGCCTCTGCCAGCAAACAGCAACCTGAAGCACAATGCGCACGTTCCAGCGTGGAGGTTTGACCAAAAATTTGGTAAGTAACATCTCACTGGGATTCCCTGGATGGCTTCATTTGCCTAAAAAAAATGTCTTGCTGCATTTATTATGTTAACGTAGTATGGTCATATAAGCATACAGAAATCTGTTTTCTGTCTAAAAGAAGAGAAGACTGAGTTTTATTCATCAAGTAATACATAGTATATATGCAAATATACTTGAGTACCATTGTGTGCCACTTCTAGACAGAATTTTTTGTAAATGTACCATTTTTGCAGTTATTTCATGTAAAAACTGTCTTGAAAGAACTTGACTTCACCCACAGATGGAGAAGTAGGAAAACGTATTTACCGCAGCATTGAATTGGAAGCCTGGAGAAATGGAAACTAGCCTTATCTTTGCTAGCAGCCAGCATCTGACCTTTGGTCTGTCTCTTGTCTGTAGCGCAGTTTCCTGCCTGTCAGATAGGGAATATAGTGCCAACTTCTTTTGTAAATCACTTTAAGATTGACTACTACATTAAAGCAGGAAAGTACATATAAATGATTTAAAATTAAAAAAATAAGGCAAGCAAAATTAATTAAATATTATTGAAAGGACCAAGTGAGTAATACGAGCTGTAAAATGCACTCAGTGTTCTACACTTTAGGATAGTGTTTCCCATTGCAAACAGGACATTTTCCAGAAATATGTGGTTTAGGCTCCCTATTTCTGTTTGTTTTTTAATTGCTAGCTGGTGTACTGTGCTGACCATCTTCACACCTTCCAAGTGTAAATGATTAAGGGGTGCAAAAGTCTTTTCTGGTGGTTCCCCTTCAGTTAATTGCACTGTGTCTTCTTAAATATGCACCAGATGGTTGTTAAGAAAAAGAAGTGAAAAAAAGAAGACTGGAAGGTGAGAAAGATAGATGCTGTGAGGGAGAGAAGAAGAAAAAGGAGCCACAGATGTGGGTCTGTATAGACAATTGGTGGGGTTTTTGCCCCTGCAAGGCAAATGCTTTGAGCCAGTGTATGATCACATCCAGGACTAGAGCAACAAGCGTGAAACCAGCGTGTTGGCGGAAGGGAGGGAAGGGAGGGTGAGAGAGGTGAAGGGGGAAACGTTTTTTGCTTCCTTCCTGCCTCTGTTCACTGAAAAAGGTGATGTATTTTCAAACAGTATGCTATAAATCTTTTGTCAGAAGTTGGCTGTATTAGAGCATAAAACAGTGGGATTTAATAAAGAATAAATTTGAATATAATATAAAATTGAGTAATAGGAAAAAGAGTGCAATGAATGGATTCAGCGTTTCCCTTAACTGTGGAAATGGCACTTCTCTGGTGGTGCTCTCACACTAAGTTTTACCGCATTCTTCCTGAAACTGATCTTAATTTGTGAATTTATAAACTATGTTGTTTTTCTGTGTTCAGAAAAAGACAGGGAAGACTGACTCACCTTTACCTTCTCCACAAAAAAGCAGTCCGTCCCCAGTCCTTCTGTCAGATGTGTTATAGCTGCGGACTGCTTCATTGCTAGTTACTTACTTCCAGTAAAATGGTTCTGATTTTGATTATGGAGCTTTCTCATTTATGGCTGAATTTCCATGGCCCTGTCGTGGGGCCACAAAAGGTCTTAGTATGGAAAATGGTTTTTACTCTTGCATATAAAGAGGTAGTTACCGTTTTGTGTACAGTATATATTAGTAAAGAGCAATATGGGTTAGTTAATTACTGTTGCAGGCTTGAGGCTCCCAAACTTGAGACAAATCCAGCCTTGTTTGATTCATGACAAACTGCTGGAGCACTTGTGTTATTGGAAAGGGAAGGCTTAAGGACCACTAAACAAAATGTGTCTTTGTTGGGCCACTTAGCTTCACAAAGCCATGGAGAGGAAGGTATTGAAGATGATATGCTTAGGCTCCAGCTCACACTTCAGCTGAAGCAACAAGCATCTTTCCATGCAACCAGAGATGTTGAACAAAGACGCGTTTGAGCCCTGACTGCGTCATGCCAGTTCTAGTAGAATTTTGGCCATGTCCCAACCTATTTATATTAAAGTAGCCTAATTTAATAAGTAGAGCAGCCATTCTATTTGTGCAGGCTGCATGAGCACTCTAAGGGCTGTCAAACTAGCTATATGTAAAGTAAACACGGTGTTATCCTGTCATTCCCCATTCCTGTTGTGCTTGGACTGTAAAGGGAGGAGGATGGATGATGGCTGGGATGGATCCATGCTGGAGAAATAGTTAACTGGCAAATAAGTTACAGTAACACATTTGCACTGCCAAATCTGTGCCTTGTCAGGAGAGTACACCTAACCTCATTATTCTGATTGTCTTTCATTTCAGGAGCTGCTTTTTTCAGTGATAGTTCTGTTGCAATCTCTCCTTAATAGATTTTCAGTGGATTAAATTTTCACACTTGTATCTGAAAATTGAGTATATGCCAGAGATAGGGAACTGTGACTGTATTACCAGGCAAGAGTGCAGTGCTTCTCTCTAGCATATTAGAGTACAGTGGGTGCTTGTTCGTGCAAGCCATTGTTTTTGTTTAGAATCCATGTGGCTGTCATCATTACTGCATGAAGTATAATTTCTGCTCTAAAAAGCAGAGTTACTTTTCACTTTTAGAGGATAAAATGGAGAAGGGACAGAAATACCACAAATATGTTTTAAACCTTAGAATCTCGTACACTTTGCTGATCTCATGATGTACTAATATAAACCCAGTGGCATCTGATTGGAAGTGCAGAGATTTTTATAGTTTCTACAGAAATTAGGCATATTAGCATATTATAGCAGCCAAAAATAATTAATGGCTTTTTAGGATGTTTACTGTAAACAATCTGTATTTTCATGACTACAGTTTCTGTCCTTGAGAGAAGGAGGAGAAGCAGCATAGCCTACTTAGGGCTGAGGGTGGTTCCATTGACACTGATGAAACACACAGCCAGAAAAAGCAGGCTGACATCAAAATAAGGCAATCTGCTACATGTAGTTTATGCTGTTCCAAATGAGATTTTCCATTACAAAACAAACTTACTGCTCTACGTGCACAGCAAGCAAATTAAAGCAGTAATACCTTTTTGAATAATTAAATAAAGAGCAGCTAGCTGTGCCCAGGAGAAGTTTTAGGGTAAAGGAATATGTCTGGCCTTGTTCTTGTGATGGAGATGCACTCCACCACTTTTCTCTGCAGCATTTCTTAGTGTTGGTAATCAGAAGCACAGATACATTGATGTTCTGGAGGTGCATACTTTAAATGTATCTTAATCATTCCCTGCTTTGACATAACTGTATCTCTTGTGTTTCACACTACTATAGGAGAGTAGTTTTATTTCATAGTGCACACTTAAAGGTTTGAACAAAAAGAGATATGGGTTCTTGCTTTTATAAATCGGGATTGCTCAGTGTGGTTTTCTGGGTTCCTGGCTTTTTTTCTTTCCCAAATGTTGTCTTTTTTTTTCTCTTCTCAAAATCTGAAGGGATGGAAAACTTTTTTCTTCTTTATCCATAAACAGATGGTTGGGATCATGACTTCCTCCCTCTGTATTTGCCTTGATGTCAGCAGGATTTACAGCAATGAAATTAATCTCTCTATTCTTGGACACCAGATTTCTGTCCAAGACTTCTTTCTAGCCTTGTCCTCTTCAGTCAGAAATGAATACTGCAGATCCCAGTAGGAAGGAAACTTTGTACCTCTTGTATCATTTCCAGCTCTCACCAGCTGGACTGAGTAACACAGCACTTGCTTAGCTGTATTCTCCTCAGCCCCCACTTAAATGGCTTGTGCTTTATGTTAAGGTGTCTGTTTCTCGTTGGATTCAGTGAGTAAAACTGTAAGACCAGAGTTCTCCATTTTAAGTCCTCCGTTTCATCCCATGTGGTATAGAGGCATTATATTGCACCTAGACGTGTACAACCACATCTAGACCTGTATGAAGGACTTTAAAATATTACCAAATATTCCAGTATGCACAATATGGAAATGGGATTTATTCTTCAGTGGCAATATAAATGTATCAGCTAGTTTGCTAATTCCACCCAATAACAGGAAAATATTTTCAACACTATTTTTACCTTGTGGGGCAAAGGACTGTGGAGTGAGGGTGTTAAACGTACACTCCTTTGCTCCTTCTCCTTAAAATGTGTTATTTCTTGTGCACTACGGGTAAATGAAATACCGTTTGTCTGCTCTGCCTCCTCTCTGAACACTTGGTGTACATCTTCAACGTGACCTTGTTGTCTGTAAATTACTGGCTTCTTTGCAGAGCAGGATGTTTCCCCAGTGCCTGAAATCTCAACCATGTGTTAATGTAAAGTGATGGCAGAATACAGAGAAGAGTATCTTGGGAAGCACTTTTTATAGCTTTGTAAAGCGCAATAGTTTATGTACTCTGCTGTGCTTGGTCAGTGCTTTCTGGCTGCATTTAATGCCATAATAGATTTCTAAATACGTTTCAGAGTCTGGTACTTGCTTTTTCAGGGTGATGTCCTGCCTTCGGCGTTAAAATTTCCATTTATTTTTGTAGAGTCAGAATTTCCTGATGTTCTTTCCTCAGCAAAATGAAGATAATGTTTTCTGTGTTCAGAAGAAGCCATGAGGGTATACTTAATGCACAAACAGTATCACTGCCTACTTAAACTCGACTGCAGTATGATTTTGCTGTATTTCATGGAGGTGAAATGGTGCTTGGTTTTTTTTCATAGGAAGAGAGCAGCAGCTACTGTCATGCAGAAGATGTAAGCAGGTTTCTGTTCACTTACCTGTCTAGTTCACTGCACATGTTTTGTAAATAACGTGGTTTGTAAAAATCTGATTCAAGATTCCCCATGTGGTAGCAAAGATAATCCACCCGAAGACAAGTCTGACTTAACGTTTTCATAGTTTAAGAGTAAAAATCATTCCCTTTTACTATGAATTCTGTTAATTTCTAATTGCAGACATACACTGCGTAACACAAAATAATCATTTAAGAAAAGCTTCTGCTGTCTGTTACTTGATCAGACACTGGGGACAGGTACTTGCCTCTTTGAATGTAATATAATCAGATCCAGA